TTCCCCTCTATTCTTGCCAAATATTGTTTTAATTATCGGATTCTATTTATATTTGGTGTTTTGTGTTAATTATAGGGCGTTGGAGCGAAATGTGCCAAAAAGGGGATAATTTCTCAACAATTGCAATCAAGCCCAGACAATTCGGGATTTACGTGCGGAAGTTTCCTAATTCGAGCCAAGTACCGAACATCCTTTGGTGGAAAATTTAGAAATCATTTTTTTAGCTGTAGGAATTGATTAGGAAATGTGAGACATTAGTTTGTTTGGATAGGAGTTTATTTGGATGATTTATTTGAGATAATTACTGTAGCACTTTTTGTGATGTGATGTATGTAGACACCAAATTTTTACTCGTTTTTGTTTTAATTATCTCAAAATTTTATCTTAGCCATTTTTTAAGCATTTTGGACATCAAATCTTTTAATTTTATTCAATTTTGCTTATTTGTCTGTTAATTTTAAGATTTTTTTGGAAAAAAAGAGAATTGCTCACAAAAAAACATTCTTAAAATTTTTAGATTCAAATTAGGAAGGTTTGTTGTTTATTTTGTTAAAAAAAAAAGAAAAAAAGAAGGAACCCGAAAGCGGGTTTTTGGCTTGTTTAAAAGGTTCTGAAGATAAAAATGCAGCTCCATTTTTTTCCAGTTTGTTTTCCGGGCCATTTTGCCCATTTTTTCTACTCCATCAGATTGGCATAGTACAAGGCCATCTGGCCTTTATCTTGAACCTCAATCTTATAAGGAACGGAGGCCATCCAATGGTGTAGAAATTAGCAGAAGGAAAACGCAGCAGCTGTGCACCGTGGATACTAGGTTTCGGGTGCTTATAAGAAGCCTGGAAATGAGATGGGATAGGGGGGAGCGATATGACGACGGAAAATCTAAAAGAGAGGGAGGCGCGGTTGAGAAGAGGAAATCTGGATGATGGCTAGGGTTTGAAGAGTGATAAAAGAGGGAGAGCCGGAGAGCTGGGGGAGAGCAAAAACAGAAAGAGAAGGAGGGACGGCGGAAACAAAAAAGAACGAGGGGGGGAGAGTTGGGAACGACGGCTGAAACAACCGAGAGAGAGGACCAGAGAGTAGTCGGCCAGAGAAAATAGAGCAAACAAGAAGGAAACAAGCGATGGGGGAGAGGTTTTGGGGCTGAGCAAAACAAAAACAAGGGCAGCCGACAAAAGGGAGGAGAGTTCGAGAGGCTGGCGGCTGTGGGTAAGACCGAGGGAACCAGAAAACTGAGAGGAAAAAGGCTGTGAGAGGAGATTGAGGGAGGTTTCGAGTAGAAAGAAAAACTGAAAGGGAGCCTAGGTAAGGGACGACTGAGGAGAAAGAAAGCCAAGGGGTTTGCGGTTGAGAGGAGAGGTAGCAAACGGAAGGAGAAGCCAACGCCACCATCATCGGCTTCAACCATTCTTGGAAGGCACAGTTCCACAGCAAGTTATCCGCTGTGATCTTCCTCTTTGCTTGCGGCTAAGGTCCAAGTTATCTCTTTTGCTATTTACTTGTTTGATTTTTACTGTTTTACGATTGCTCTTGGATGGTTTCACTTAGGATTTGTCTGTTCTTAGATCCCTGCTTTGCCTCCCCCCAACCTTAAACCTCCACTGCAGCATATTTAGTCGTGTGTTTATGTGGGTTTTATGGAGTCAAATGAGTGTTAGACTCTTAGTTATTCATTTTGTGTTAACTTGTCCATGTTGGCCTTGAAGCTTCTTGTACAGATGCCTGCCATCTCGCTTGTTTCATAGTTCAGATTTTAGAATGATTCCTCGCATGTTTAGTTAGGTGTTTCAAGTCATATGATAGGGCTCTCTGTTTCGCGTTTTTTGTTTGTGTTTTGGCCTGATTCATTTCTGATAGGGTCCCTAGTGGGTGGGTTTTTGCATAGACAAATTCTTGTTGAATATGGGTGATAAGTAGGTGAATGACCTGATTTTGAAATGGGATGGTGAGCAACTATGGTTAAAAGTGCAGTAAGTGTTTGCGAGGTTTGTATAAGGAAAATGGATAGAATTTGGGGTTCCCTTGGTTACGCATGCCCATTAGCTCCAAGTTTATGTCACCTTGCTGCATTTCATCCCTCTCGCTTCATAATACAACAGAAAATTGCAGAAATTCTATTTCCAGTTTTGCACGCTTTTCTCCTCCTAAATTTGAGAAATTTCTAAGTTTGTGATGAAATTTAAAAAAATTCTACAAAAAGGGCGATTTCGGTGAGGTATTCCGTAGGGGGTCTTCGCATTCCAGGAATGCGAGGAGCTCGCATTCCTGGAATGCGAGCTCAGCAGAATTGTTTTATTTTTTTTTCAGAGAGCTCGCATTCCGCGAATGCGAGCTCTCCCAAATTTAAATTTTTTCGCATTTGCAGCAAAGGAATGGACTAGTGCATACGCAACTGGTGCATGACAAAGAAGGCAGGATATCGTGGTTAAAAAGGATTTTGGCAACTCTTGTTGTATGTTTAATTGACAGGCAAGTTTGTCGTTTGAGTAATAGATGAATTAGTCTTTCAAACTATGTGCCATTGGTGTCCCTAAAACTTCCGCATTCAGCTGTATTTTACTATTTTCCGGTTTAGAAGGCTTGCTTTAAATATGTACAGCTGCCGTGCTATATTTTGTTATAAATTTGCTTGTCATACATTTTAAGGATAATTATAGAAACTTCCCTTAAGATTTTTGACAATTTCACTGGACTCCCATAAGGTTTGCAAGACTACACCTGCCTACCTTGATTTGATTTAACTAAACATTAAAATAACATTGACTTAGGTCAAAGTTTTAAATGAGTAACCTAAAATGCTGATTTATTATAGTGATAGGATATTTTTTTATGGTGTTTATTAGGGATTGATTGAGAAATTGTTGAAATAATTCTTTTAAAGTTCGTAAATTTTTTGAGTGATAGAATTACCATAATTTGGTAGTTGGGTCATATCTTTTAGATTTATTATAAGTATGACTTTCAGAAAATTAAATTCAAACTTGCTAGGAAAAAAATTTAAAATGAAATTTACGAGCTCCCAAAAAAATGTAAAATTAACTGTAAATGTTGTTTGTTTTGTAGAATTTGTCTTTACTAAAATGCTGTCGGTAATAAAATCTTATTTTAAAATCTGTACTAAAATCTTAAATTTCGGAGAAATGTTAGAGAAATGTTATTTAAAAATCTGTAATTAGCATAGGAATAAATTTTATTTATTTTAAAACTTGCACGTGCCTAAAGTCATCAAATATGTGCTCTAAAAAAATCATATTTCTTTTATATTAAAAAAAATTGGCCCAAGTTCCGTCAATGCTCCGGCTCCAAGAGAAGAACAACCGGGACCTGCAAAGAGCTTGGAATGCCTAGCACTTGATAAACTAATTAAATTTCGTAAGAAACAAAGTTAAACTGGCAACATTTAGCAACAGTACCTCCATTGAGCCACAGGATATATCACTGAGCAGGACATATCACTGAGCTCGCAGACATATCACTGAGCTCGCATTTGCAAGGCAACATTTAGCAACAGTACCTCCATTGAGCCACAGGATATATCACTGAGCTCGCAGACATATCACCGAGCTCGCATTCCCGGAATGCGAGCTCAGTGAGCTCGCATTTCCGGAATGCGAAGACCCCCATTTGCAGAATGCACTCCAAAAACCGCCCTCGTTGTAGAATTCTTTTTTTTTCCATCATAAACTAAGAATTCACCCCCTAAATTTTGTGTTTCAAATCCAAAAGTTTCATGTTGAAAATAGGAGAAGTGTTTGATTAATCTGTTGCCTGGGTTTTTTGCGTTCCATGCGGCTGAGATTGGTATATTAAGAATCTGAAGCTCTCGATTCTCAGCTGGTTGCAGCAGCATCTTTGCAGCAGCCCCTCTCTGAGTTGTTTAATTGCCGGGGGTTTGTTCACTTTTTTTGGGTTATGCAGTGGGTAGGGTTTGAAGTGGTTCTTTGCAAAGGTTAAAATGTTTCCTTTCCCATTGCTTGTGTCCTACCCTGCTTCACGCATTCCTGTCTTGTTGGCAAGGATGGTGTAGTTTAGATCACTCTCTTGATATCAGCTACTGGTTAGTTCATGCTAAAAGGATACGCAAGAAATCTTGTTGTTTGATCCAAGTTTGAGTTGTTTAATCCTTTGGGTTACTATGTACAAACACATTTCGGATGAATGAGCTAAAAATCGCAGATAAAAAGCTTCATCAATGACCGAAACTTGCTGTTGCAGAAACTTCCTTCGGTTTGCTGAAATTTTTGATCATTTGAACTACTTATTTGAAATGTTTTTGAGAGGTGATTAACATGGTTTTGAGTGGAGCTGACTCGAAGTTTTGTGTGAATTTTGTTTGCTGAAAGTTTACTTGGAGTTGCAGAAGCTCTCGGATGAAAATTGTAGCATAAATAATAGGGGTGAATTCTTAGTTTATGATGGAAAAAAAAAAAGAATTCTACAACGAGGGCGGTTTTTGGAGTGTTTTCTATAAATGGGGGTCTTCGCATTTCGAAAATGCGAGCTCACTGAGCTCGCATTCCACGAATGCGAGGTCACATTGGAGCTCGCATTCGCGGAATGCGAGCTCACTGAGTTTACAGGAGAGGCTTTTCTATAGCTTTCTAAGCCTTTTCTCTTAGCCCAGGGGAAATCTTAGTCTAGAGGAGAGTTTTCTCTAAGAATGTGGACGGGGATTTCAGGGTCTAGCCTTTGACACATTCCCTAGCCTCCAACGTAGCCCCTTCTGTAGCACATCATGTCCTGCTAGAATGCTGCGCCACACATGAGAAGACCCAGGTCTGTATTGAAAATGCACTTCTTGGTTTCTGCAATATTTCCCTTTGATCACCTCAACCCAGAGAGACTTTTTGTTCTGTATCATGTCCCAACTCAGTTTAGCTAAAACTGCTTTGTTAGCTTTCCTGAGTCTTCTTATGCTTAGCCCTCCCCTGCTCTTTGGTTATGTCACCTTCCTCATCCCCTGAATGAACTCCTGCAACTGATCTGCCACTCGGGAAGTTCAACTAAAGGCAAGGCAAGATCAAGTTCTTCGTAAGACCTTTTAGATGCAGTTCACTATCTGTAGATGCAGTAGCTACAGAATTTGATCCTCTCGAGGGAGCTGAAGAAGGAGATGGAAGCCTTTTAGGCAGCATCTGTTTCCACATATCCTTTGGAAATCTTGATGCTTCTGATGAGATGAGAATCAAAGCAAGAAGAAGACTGAAGAGCATGAACTTATGCCTCCTACAAGAACCTGACATGATGGATAGTTTAAGAAGAACTACAGAGTAGAGCTCGCATTTCGCGAATGCGAGCTCTATTCTAACCTCGCATTCGCGAAATGCGAGCTCTAGTGAGCTCGCATTTCGCGAATGCGAAGAACCTCCGGACGGAATTCATTGCCAAAATCACCCCTTTTGTAGAATTTTTTTAAAATTCATCACAAAATTAGAAATTTCTCTAAATAATAGAAGCAAAACCTGTTTGCCGAGAAGCTTTCATTTGCATGCATGAATAATTTCTAAAAAATTACACTTTGGCCCCCCAAGTCTCCCCTTGTTCTACTATGACCCAACCAATTGAATAATCTCCTCAATTTGGTCCTTGGTAGTTTTAATTTTACAACGTCATTGTTGGTTTGTTTCAATTAATTACTATGCTTTGTTTCAATTGCACTTAAGTCATGACTTTAGGGGCTTTATGGTCAAGTGAGCTTTGTTTTGCACATTTCTTTTAATTTTTTCTTAATTAAAGTGGTACCTTGACCTTTTTATTGTTTTGAAGCCATTTTTCCTTCATTTGATTACCATCGCGAGTAGGGGTGGCAATTCGGGTCCAAATCAGGTTGGCGGGTCGGGTTCGGGTCAACCCGTCAGAAAATCTGTTGACCCGAACCCGACCCGCCAACCCGTGACGGGTCAGGTATGCTGACCCGAACCCGAAAATTTCAGGTTGGCAGGTTGACGGGTCGACCCGAAATGACCCGAAACTTAATTTTAATTTATTAATTTATCACTGTAATTTCTAATAAAATCAATTTCTCACAAAACTAATTACATAATCAAGTAATAAAAATTTAAATAAATAATTCCAAACCAAATCTAAAATAAATTAAACACCGTAAAAGTGTTTTATCCCAAACAAAATATAAAATAAATTAAAACAATATAAAAGTAAAAAATAATATAATATATTATTTGTCCAAATATAATAATTTCAACTTCTCACAAATTAAATAAATTCATTTAGGATTAAGTAATTAATGCCTTTGAAAAAAAGAATAACTTAGTTTAGTTAGATAAAATTATTTTTATGTTTATTAAATTATTTTTAATTCGTAAACGGGTCATATCAGGTCACCACGGGTTGACCCGAAATCGACCTGTTTTCTTTTCGGGTTCATCGGGTCCAACCCGATTCTGACCCGAATTCCTAAAACCTCAACCCAAACCCATTAATTTCGTGTTAGGTTCGTGTCGTGTTTTCAGGTCGTGTCGAAAATTGCCACCCCTAATCGCGAGGGAGGTATAACTTCTTTTATCTTTTTTGTCTCTCCTCTATGTGATCCAACGTGCTAAGTGAGAATTGTATGTCTACTTTTCTTTCCTTGCTCTTCCTTAATTCCTTTCATTCATTTCATTTACTTTTGCTTTTATTAAGTTATTCTTTTATGGGGTATGTGTACACCTCTTGGCTTGTAATAGATAGGGCTTAGAGAGCATTTTTATTCACTTTTCCCCTTCCCCATTTATTTTAGTTAGCCAATGTAATAGGTTCATTAGCTTGATTGCTTGCTTTTGTTGCTACATGTTAATTTGCTTTATTAGGCTCTTGCATTTAGTCGAGCATGCTAAGTGTTATGTGCTACGTGTTTATAGGTGATTGGCATGTCTACTTGCTTTCTATAATCGTAGATGAATGTGATGGATGAATGCGTCACCGTGGCTAGTCCAACGCTGGCCATGGTTTTTTCCCTCGAGCTCTCGCAAGTCCAATGCTTGTGAGAGAATTCTAGAAAATGGCTAGCCCAATGCTAGACCCAATAGGCCGTCCCCTCTCGTTAGTGCATATTTGCATGTTTCACTACATTTCATACATTTTTCTTAGTTTTTTAGCATTTGGCATGCTCCTCCAATCCTTTCCCCTTCATTTTAGGTTTTTGCATCCTCATGCTAGTTATAGGGTACATTTGCTTGAGAGTCCCCTTTCGGTAAGGGAAACGAGCGAGTGTGGCTACAAAATAGCCTTAGCACGCTAGTTCTTCCTTCTAATCAAAGGGAAAATCAAAATCATGAAGTTAGAAGTCATTCCCGTACCCGACTTGATGCACTCCTCTAGGTTCATGCACCTCCATTTTACCATATCACTTTTTCATTTTTGTCTACATTTTCTTACTACTTATATTTTTCTCACTCCACATGCCATGTTCACACACTTCTCTTCTTTCCCTATCACTTATTTATTTTCTACCTCACAAATTGCACCCAATTGCACTTATATGCATTTACTACTATTTATACTATATTTTCATCCACTTGCACACAAACACCTTCATTTTCTCAATTGGCACACATGCACTTTTCTTACATTTGCACACATTGCACTTTTCTTACATTTGCACACATTGCACCTTTCTTACATTTGCACACATTGCACTTTTCTTACATTTGCACACTTGCACTTATATTTGGGTCTTCATTTGCATTATTCGTGACCTCTATGAGGACTTTCCTTACTGGCCATCACAATTCATGTGATTGGGACCAAAAAGCCTCATAAGAGACATTTTAGATTTAGGATTGCATTTTTCTTTTTTCATATCCATTAGTCACATCCAACATGCAACGCATATTTTGGGTAGAAGAATTAAGAAAAGAAGGGCGAAGTCACGCAACTAGCTTTGGCTAGGGTAAGGGAGTGCCTTAGGTTTTGCCTTTGCCTTCTCCCTTATCAAATGTGACCCCCGATCCCTTTCTTTGGTTACGTAGACCTAAAATTGTTTAAAAAGGGTTTGTTTACTTTTCTTTCCAAAAAATCGCTTTTTGGGTGACTTGGTACACCCTAACTCTATACCAAGTGGCGACTCCATTTTCCATCCAAAAAAAAAAAACCCTTTTTGAATTATATTTTGGCCAAACCGTCGCATTTCACAATCCCACGGCCTTTTATTTTCATCTTCACACGCGTTCACATACACACTACTTTCACAACTCAAAAAGTGGGGCGCGACAATGTATATGAGATAAAAAGGTGATTGGAAAGATAAAAAAGTGATTGAAATTTATGAAGCAAATTATTTTATTTCAAATCTTTTCAATCCAAACACACTCAATTATATTTTGCAGTTTCTTTCTTTTATTAAAGAGATACGTTTCATTAGTAGTAGGATACACGAAGTAGGAAAATGGGGAGAAAAAGAAGGCCGAATTCTCGTGGGATTAAGACTTCGGCAAGAAGTAGAATTGCGGGTGACTAGTCACGACAGGGAACTTTGGCCATCTGCATCGTTTTTTCTTTCTCTTACATTTTGTTACATTATCGGATGCTTATGAAAATTACTTCAATCGATTGTGCGGATTTTCTTCCGATGATGCGTAGCTAAACTTTCTTTTTCTAGTCAAGAATTAACGAAGGATTTGGTTCATTTACATCTGTGAGATCTAATTATTTTTATTAATTTAGTTATTTATTAGTATTCATATGCTTTTTGATTTAATTTCTCATGGTTGTTTTGTTGATTGAATATCAAGGGTGCCCGATATTTAATTCAACTTGACAAACTATTGCCAGTTAGGACAGTTAAATCTGTAATTGTTTAATTATCTTAAATTAGTGACGACTAATGTGATTGGTGCTATACTAGGGAGACATACGATCTGATTTAAATAAACTCTAGTAGTGTATTTATTGATTGGAACAAGGCTTTTCTAGTTCTTAATCCAATCAGGAAATTAAATTCTACGGGTGTACCTAGCATTGTTTTTTGATTAGGGAAGTAGTTAACGGACGTACCTTAACTATCGAGACACTAAAGAAAAGTTGGTTGTTTATCGCGTATATGACAACTATAACCTGTTTATTAGCAACTAATTGAAATAATTCTTACATCGATGAATAGTTGTATGAATCACATCTGGAGTTATTTCCTTGACTAAAGTTTGTTAATCCTTGATTTAAATTTAATTTACTTTAGTTTAATTATTTTAGTTAGGATGATTATTTACTTTAGTTTTAATTCTCCAGTACCCCCCAGATTAGCTTTTACTTATAAAGAAACAAATTTTTCTCCTAATCCCTGTGGAGATGACTCTACTTACCATTATAATCGAATAAATATCTTTGTGAGTAGGAATTTATTATTACATAGGCGTGACACTTGTCACCCAATTTTTTGCCTCCTTATTTCAATAATCAAAGTACTTCTTTCTAAACATAATGGTAGGTCAAGTCTGCATTTTTCTCTATTGGTTTACCAGCTAAATTGGTTAAGATAATTTTAGAAACATATTTTAGGGAATTGAGTGACGCTTTTGACAAAAGGAAAAAAGTTCAATGATCAAATCGAACCAAAAGAATCACACAAAATGACAGTTGCTTCATAAGATAACAGAAAAATGTAAATTTGTCCTGATGAACTTTCGGATTCCATCACCTATTGCTACACTAAGTGTAACTTATCAACTTTATCAACTAGAATCATCTGCTAGTATGTTGTCACAATACCAATTCTGGAATAGATAGTTTGGCATAGCAAACAAAAGAACCTAAGTAAACTGTGAATCAAACTCATTTAGAAACTTTTCAACAAATGAAGTATTCACGAACTGGAAACCTCCATTCTCCTGAACCTTACATATGGGCCCAATGCCTAGGATTTGGGGCATCATCATGGTAACAATAGTCATCAAATATTGGCCCATAGTAATAGCTCCCAGAGTATCCAGGTGGTTCCATCCTTGGGTAATCATATGGAAAAGCGTTTTCATGGTTAAAAAGTTAACTTCCGCTTCCACTTCTAGGAAAAAAAGTTAAAAACCGCCCGTGTGGTGAGGATGATCAGTCTAGTCAATTGAGGGTGCCATATTATGAACGATTGGTCATCTTTGATGGAGTTTCCAACGAGGATCCCTGCAGACTTTTGGATCAACTTGAGGTGCTACAAAAGCTTTGGGCTCCTGACTATTTTCTCCCTTCTAAGGACTCTCATCTTGAGGATAACCACGATTTCTTTCTCCCATTTTCTGGAAAATTTTT